AGAGACGGGCTCGCTCTTTAATTCGCGATCCATTCCAAGTGGATGCGACGCGATTCGAACGTAACGGGGACGCTTTAAGCGACGCTGCTGACCTAGAAAGACACGGAACCGTCGAAATGGAACAGAAAGAAGGAGGAAAAGAGAGGGAAAAAAGGCGAGACGAGACGCTGACTTCGCGTCTTCGCGGGAATCGATCGAGGCGAAAAGTTGGCCGAGTTTAATCGATGATAACGCAAGGGGAGAAAGGTGTACGGACGAATTTGCCGACAGTGAACGTGTTTCAGAGTGGCGGTGGGAAAACAGAGCAGTGGACGTAGAAAGACGTTGCAGAATTGTCGATTTTTTTCAGCGGAAAAGATAAACAAACACTCGAGATCGCTTTGAGTACGGAAATGAATAGAAATATGAAATTTCGCAAGTAAGTAATTGCTTGAAAAACATAGAAAGAGCTTGCAGATGTTAGATTTATCAGTCAGTCACTTTTGTATAGTTGGGGCGTTTAGGACGATACTCGCAAGTGGTCGAAAATGTATAGTCATTTCGATGATAGATAATTGCCGGTGGTAACAGGTGTTTGTGGTTCGATCGGTAAAGAAGATAACTGATCAATCGACGAGTTTTCACCCTCGACTTAACGAGTGAAATTTAACTCCCGCATTTCTTCGAAACGAATTTTTATTTTTATTCAACAAAGTTCCAAACGTTTGAGTTGACGAACAGTTGCAGAATTTTCCTAAGTTTGAAATAGTAAAGAAATTAGACTTAGACACAAACTACCCTGATTGCCTACGAAAGATTTACCGAAGCACTGATATGCTTTGATGATAGTGTTAGATTTATCAGTCAGTTAGATATAACAAAAATTAATCTAACGCCTTCTCGGATTGCATCGCGATCGAAGCGCAAGTTCATGAAACAGAGAGACGTTCTCCGCAATGAAACTTTTATCACTAGCAATAATTCCCCGAGTAATTTCGAAATGTACCCACGGTGTGCAAGTTTATCAGTTCATAATGATATCGATGATAATAATAATAATTAACGCAATTAATATTCCGTCCAATATCGATATTTTCAAAAAAATAACATTTCGCTGAAAGGAAATATTATCCGAAATACCCAACAATTTCCCCGATAAATTACACAAGAGACGGCGAGAAGTTGCAAAACAGCCCAACTTACCCAAGATCCAATAACCCACAGTGTACGCACATAAACGAAAGTCTCAAAACCAGTCTTCCAGTTTTTCAATAGGAGAAACGGTACGTCACTGTCTCGGTCACAATGGAATTTGTTAGATTTATCAGTCAGTTAGATATAACAAAAATTAATCTAAAGCCTTACTAGGAAGTACATATTTCTTTTGTATACGTTCGGAAAAATCCGTTTAGCTTTACCACCTCTGCTTAGTAAAGATCTAAATGTTTATGATACGTGACAAAAGGGAGGTCGTAGGCAATATTAGGGGGTCGCGTAGGAGCATTCTCAGTCTGTAGACAGTGCTCTTACCATCAAGTAGAAAAGCGAACCTTCCTTGTGTCTAATAAAAGTTTATAATTTAAAATAAGGATTACTAATTATTTAACAACCAATAACTCCCATAATCCAATAGTAGATTCGAATAAATTATCGTCCAAGATGAAAAAGTGAAAATTTTAACCTGGCCGAAATTCCAGACGAAAACTTTTCACATATCCGTCCTGGTAAAAGTTTCTCCCCGCTCTTCAAACAGCGTGTTCGACATTCTTAACGACAGGCACGCTTTTCTACACTTTTCCAGTTAAAATACTCCGGCATTTATAAAACATAAATATCAACGCGCAGCAGATGAGTTTTTTAAATCTGACGAGCAGATTTTTCGACGTTCGGAACTTCGCACACCGGAAAAATAATTTATTCGATCCTATGAATGATTTTAATACGCGAGAGATAACCCGCGAAAATTCGAGTATTTCAAATTTCCACCTGAAGCGTCTCTAATTGCTGCACGAAATAATTCGCGGGGAAAAAGGCACGACGTACGAGGTTTGGTGAGATTCGCGGTGAATAATGAAAACCGTGTAACGCAGCAGCGGATACAGTATTAAAGAGCTCGAAATTGAAACACACCCCTTGCACATTTTTAAGATATCCCCGAGGAGAGGTCAATTATTCCTCACGGTCTCCAAGTCCTTTAATTCCAAGACCTCTCGTTATCCCTGAGATTTCCCGAGCGATACACAAGCGAGTAATAACGTCGGGAGAAGATCCGTGGGAGGAGTTAAATGGATCGTCGACAAGGAAAACGTCCGTAGTTTGTTACGGGAAAACTCGACGGGGAAAAATTCATGTCGCGATATTAAACGTTCTGATTGGCTATCATGCGAAACTTCGCCCGAACTCGTGAAAGTGCGGACAATACTTTGGAGAGAAATCGCGAATAATTTTCCTGCTTAGAAATTTCCCTATATACGCCGGGTTGTGTAGTATGGTAAATAGGCGAAACGATGATGAAAAAAAGATGCTTCGAAGTGGGTAATAAAGTGAGCAGTTTCGAGATAGGCTGTTCTACGGGGAAAGGTGAGAGTGAAATATGGAATGCGAGTTGTGATAATCTGGCAAGGTTGTGGGAGATAGTTTTGAAAATGTTCCGGAGAAACTGTGGCTAACAGTGATGTATCTTTCATTATTACTTTTTCGAAAATGCTGGAAATGTGAATTTCTTTTCAAGACGCAATTCTGTGATTCAGTTTTTTTTTTAATATTATTGTAATTAATTTTTCAAAGCTGAGAATTGATAGATCTAGTATTTCTTCGCAATACAGAATTCTAGAATTTTATAAATTTTCGAGGTTTTTCCAAGAATCCACTGATTTAAGTAAAATTTCTGTATTTTCAAGCTCGTCAATTTCATACGAATAATTTTTACTCTTCTGTACGACCGCTTTTATTTAATTCAGCAACGTTCCGAGCAAAGAACTAAGTCTTGCTCTCCAAAAATTTGTAGATCTTCCAAACTTTTCGAAATATATATTAAATATCGAAAAATCAAGATCTCCATATTTTCAAGCTTTCACAGCTATTCCTCCCTGAGATAATCAATCTTCTGCCTAATTTCACCCGTACGAATAATTACTCATCCATTTTAACTCAGATTTACCAACGTTCCAAGAATTATCGCGCGATCCGTTTCCCGAATATTTTCACGTACAAAAATGTCGAAAACATTTTCAAAGCGTATTATCGCGCGGTACCAAGCTAGGTAAATAGCCGTGAAATTCCGAAATCAGTTTGGACGCGAACGCGGAACCGGAAGAAAGGGTGAAAGTGCAAATTACTGTATTCGTTGAGACGCTTGTCGAGAGAGCACGTGGATTGGTTAGAATGCGAAAGTGGATGGAGATTAATTCCGGCGCTAATTTAGCGGCGGCTAGTAAGCGTTCTCGCTGAAGCATCCCCGTGGGTACTGTGCAACTTAACTCTCGGCCGCAAATGAAACTCAAGCAACGCGGCGACGACGACGTCGACTCGTTTTTACCCACCTTTCATTTCGGCCGTTCTTTGTTGCGCAGTCGCGCAAATACCCGGTCGGAAAAAGAAACGAGAGAAGAAAAGAAAAAAAGACGAAAGATTCGCCAACGCGTGGATAACGAAATTGTTCGCGAAACAACGAAACTTCGAACGCGATCGAACCATGTGTCGCCACCGCTTGAGCAAATTGGAACTAAAGAGCGTTGCCACGCAGCACGTTTCCTCCTGAAAATGAAAGAAAAATCTAGTTCTCGATGGAATAAATTCGAATAAATAACATATAGTGTATAAAATGTTGGTTTACTTAATTGTTGCTTGAAGAAATGTGTATTAATAATTGGGGTGTGGTTGAACATTTATTTATTCATTTTATATGATATACTGAAATGCTGTAATTAAATGTAATATTGCATTTGAAATGTAAATGTAACTGTAGAACGCGAAATGTTTCGTTTCCGAATATACTTATGCTGATAACAACATCGTTATCGATACATTGAACCTCAAACACGATAGTGGACTTCAGTGTTTACGAGAAACACGTTGCACAATTTTCTGATAACCAAAGTATACTGTAAAAGGGTGTTGAATTTTTTAGAGAATATCTGATTTTTAACGTTTCACGCGTTTCTATTCTTACGAATCGAAATAGCCGCTGTAGGCGTTCATATGTCATAAAATTACATTGTCCATTCGCGTACATAAGAGCAACATACTATGTACAATGAAAGCATATTCGAGGTGCAAGACACGAGCTACGTGCTTTAAAGAAATTCAACGTCGACTTACCGCGATCTCTGCAGTACAATTTTTGCACTTACAATAACACGTGGCCTGTTAACCACAATTTCCTGACGTATCTACAGCGTGTCGCATAAAGTCGTTAAAAATGTACAATAGTATACCGGAAATAATAAGACGCAATAACAAAACAACAGGATAACAGGAAAATATGCTTCGAAGTATCTAAACGCGAGGAATGCAATTTTTAATTTTCAATCGCACGCCAGATGGCGCCTCGATCCGTCATGGACGCAGAATTGAATGGAATGCAACTCTATGCACGTGGTTTTCCGTGATCGAAGTGAGCCGTCAGGGGACGCCATGTTTATACTGTAGGTGGTTTGGTGCGGGTATACGTGTTGTCCATTATTTTCAAGTAATAACGTTTAATTATTTATTTACACGGTACATCGCGGTACCAAATGCCCTGTGTGTGAAGTGTGCTACTGCCGTTGTTGTGACCGATTGATTTTCATTAGCGATACATGGAATAAATCTGGTAGACGCGAACGATCTTATGACTTATGGACCTTCGTTTCTCGGGATTCTTTTGCTACCTCATAAATTGTTTACAAGTTGTTCACGCTGCTTTGCAACTAAGCAGAGCCCCTAGAACGTGCTATTTGCGCTAGGAGTACAATTTCCTTTTCAGGAATCGTCTGCAAGCATTGGATGGACGTGATGCATCTTTAGTAGAAGCATTTGTGCGTTTTATAACCTGACAATACGTCCGAAGTTTCTCTATCTTTATCATGTCATTGCATCTTTGACAAAGTATTAAGCGGTAAGGATTCAACAGGAATGCGTCATCCATGCTTTTTACGTGTTCCCTACCACGTGTACATTCTCCGATGGGGAAAAATCGCGCGATTATAGACGATCACCACGAATGTTTTGCATGCTTTGTAAAATATCAAATGTTTCTTGAGAAAATAAACGTGTGAATTTTCTTTCTTATCCTTCTCTGTTCTTTACTTTTTTTTTCTCTCTCGATTACGAAATAGCGCCATTTAAATTGCGCCTCTCGGAATTTTTTTTTAATGCATGTTTGTGTTGTGCTCCCTATCGTTGTACAGTTTATAAAAATTAAATGTAAATATAAAGATACGAAATATTTGGAATTTTTTAAAACGATCATTAGAGAAGAACGATTGAAATTTCGTTGACATACTATAAGTGTTATTGTATTAGATGTATTGTGTTATCTGCTGTGCTAGAAAATAAATTATAAAAATAAGATTTACTTACTTAAATATATTTGTACAATTTTATACGTATTTTTGTATGTTGTGTTTCAGTTATGAAAATTATTTGTAGATATTTATATTCATTTTATCTGTCATCATTTAAAAGAAAATGTTTAATTATTATGATTTCTTCTGTAATGTCATTCCTTTTTCAGTTGTACGATATTGTTCTTTCATTTAGGTGGTGTTTGTGTATGTTGCAATATAATACATTGTTTATATAATCAAGTTCTGATATGTATATCAATGTTTAGATGTATGAACTTTAATGTTTATACTGTTGCACTTATTTAAAATAAATAACTAAATATAATAAGTTACTTTATTTTAGATCTGGAACAAGCAAATTAATTCCAAAATGTGGTCATCACAAGGTAACAACTCGAATACAAATGCTTCGTCGAAAGAAGAAAAGAATCTACGTACACTGGGCATGACATCTGCTATCAGTGTAGCAGAACCAAAGCCCAGTGACCTTACTAGGACTAATGAATTAAAGGAAGCATTAAAGCCTTACAATGTATTTGAGTCTGAAGAAGAGTTAAATCACAGGATGGAGATTTTAAGGTACCTTTCTATATATGTTTCTATCGTATAATGTTCATATTGGAGCACTACTAACATCATATTATGTTAATTGTTACATTTTGTTAGTAAATTAAATGCACTGGTGAAACAATGGATACGGGACACAAGTATCGCCAGAAATATGCCACCGAATGTTGCTGAACAAGTTGGCGGTAAAATATATACTTTCGGTTCATATAGGTTAGGGGTACACCACAAAGGTGCTGATATAGATGCCCTATGTGTTGTACCACGTCACATCTATAGGTCGGATTATTTTACATCCTTCTTTGAATTACTGAAAATGCAAGAAGAAGTTACAGATTTAAGGGTATGTGTTTTAGAGAACATCGCATAATAGTAATCGTTAATTGTCATTTTAATATGAATTTTTTTTCATATAGGATTTACACAGTAAGTAGTGTAATCCAATTGAGATTAAACATTAGTTAATTGAAAATAAAAGTAACTTAAATACATCAAAGATGTACCTTGCATAAAATGTTCATTTGTTGAAACATATGTTTAATAGGTGTTTAGTTATATTATTTAATATCTTTTAGGCAGTGGAGGAAGCATTTGTACCAGTAATAAAAATGAATTTTGATGGTATTGAAATTGATATGTTGTTTGCAAAACTAGCACTTAAAGAAATTCCTGATTCAATGGTTAGTAAATCGTTTCTAGATTGTTTTCTGTAGGTCTCTCTTTTAATTGTACATCTGGAAAACTTTTTCTTTCACATACAGGATCTTAGGGATGACATGCTTCTGAAAAATCTTGATCAGAAATGTGTGAGAAGTCTTAATGGTTGCAGAGTAACAGATGAGATATTGCGTTTAGTACCTAATATAGAGAATTTTAGGTTGGCACTTAGAGCCATTAAGTTGTGGGCAAAACGTAAGATAATTCTTTATCTAACTTTCATATGCTATCAGATGAATAAGTGTTTCTTATGTATTCAAAGTCTTAGCTATGCTTTTTTATCCTTAGGACATGGCATATATAGTAATGTATTAGGGTACTTAGGAGGTGTATCTTGGGCAATGTTGGTTGCAAGAACATGTCAACTATATCCTAATGCTGTTGCAGCAACACTAATAGAAAAGTTTTTCCTCGTATTTTCTCAGTGGAAATGGCCACAACCGGTCCTTTTAAAGCAACCTGACAATGTTAATTTAGGTTTTCCAGTCTGGGATCCAAGAGTAAGAATTTTCACCATGCCTACATCATTCTAACTGAAAGTATACTTTATACTAACTAGTGCTCCTTAATTTTGTAAAGGTAAATATAGCAGACAGATATCACTTGATGCCTATAATCACACCAGCATATCCTCAACAAAATTCCACGTTCAACGTATCAGTTTCAACGAGAACCATCATGCAAGAGGCATTCGAAACCGGACTATCGATAACGGAAGAAATAATCATGGGAAAAGCGACGTGGGACAAATTATTCGAACCTCCAAATTTCTTTGGCAAATATAAACATTATATTGTACTATTGGCAAGAAGTTTGACTGCTGAGGATCAACTTGAATATTGTGGGCTTGTCGAGTCAAAAATACGACATTTGATAGGTAAAATATTGAACACGCATTAAATATATTCTATTGGACTGTATGGGATATGTTAAAAACCTGTCGATAAATACGCATTAATCATTGCTCTAGCGTACAAGATGTTATATAGGAACGTTAATCGAACAATCACAAATAAGTAAAATAATTTCAAATAAAACCAATGAAACATGTCGACATTTAATTACTGGTCAGCAGTTTGTGCGGAAACTTTAAACACAACCTGACTTGCATTCTCTCCGCTGTTCACCATTTACGTAACATCTTGTAAAGTTATCGATCGTGTAAAGAAAAAAAAAAAAACCAATAACAAAGCATCATCCTGCTTTTGATGTTAGTTTATCATATCATGTTGTGTTTGTTCCAGTTTAAATGACGTAGATTAAAACAGGTTACTTTTCATTGGAACATAAATCGAGTTAGAGTTGTTCGTAGGTTTTCAGATTATAAATTTATGCATCTTTCGCAGGAGAGAGTAAGCCGGCTGTTCTAAATCAGTGAATTGTATAAGTCTCTGTCTTAATCTGTGTCTATTCTAATCATGAAACTTTGACTTTGAATATTCATATTGTCGATATTGCAATGCTAATAATCCGCGGGTGCCAAAATGGCAAAATCCTAACTCTTAAAAACAGGTACACTGGAAAGGAATCCTCACATAACATTGGCACACGTAAACCCGGAGGCATTTCCACCGTTAGAACCAGAACCGGAGGGGCACTGCTCCATGTGGTTTATCGGCTTGCTATTTGCCAAGAGCGAAAACCTGAACGTTGATTTAACGTACGATATAAAATCCTTTGTAGATTCGAGTAAGTATATCATGACAGACATTCACAGAGAAAATGGTTCTTTCGTTACATTCGACTAAATTCCTACAATTATTATCGTACGAAAATACAGTTCAAAGGCAAGCAGAACAGTTGAACATGTTAAAGGACGGCATGTGGATAGAAGCGAAACATGTGAAGAGAAAGGATCTATACACTTATGTATCTCCTAGTTTGCTCAAACGAGAAAGAAAAGTACGTGTTCATTTCGTTTTCATCTTAATTCAATTTCAATTCGTCTACATCATTTTTCAATTCTCGTTATTTTTTTTCGAACAGGTTTCGGGTAGTGTACATAAAAATGGAAATATTGCTGGAAACGGTAACAGTAACAGTGGTAGCGTGTCACCACGAAACCAGGGAGATACGGCGAACAGGAAGAGATTATCTGATCAGAATCCAGACACATGTGGAAAGAAGCGAAGAGTCAATGACGGTGATCAACAAGTAACACAGGTATGTATTGAATAAAACATCAAATTGAACAATTAGGCACGTGTAAAATTAACGTAACGAATGAATATGAACGTGTCGACAGGGAGAAGATGGGTCGTTAGTGGTTCAATCTTGTGGAGAAGATAGCAATTCCGGATTTAGTTTGGACGAATACAAGCAAACGTTGACAGCTACTAAGGATGTAAGACATTGTACATATAATGAACAATAATCATCATAAAACAGGATTAGGTAACTACATATGAAAATAGAGCGTAGTAAATCAATTTCGGATTCAATGGAGAAGAGAAGTAATTTTTAAGCGATGCCCAGGAGGTAAGGAGCGGAGGATGTAGAGAGCCAGTAGCAGTTATTCACAAAACGTTTCCGCTTCTTTCTCTTATTTCAACGTTCTACACGATATATATATATATTTTTTTGTTCTTGAATTTTTTAATATTTAAATTTCGTCTGTTGTTCTGTATGTTTCAGGAGGGGCCTACTGGTGCACCTACAGTAGCACAGGAAGGATATGTTTGCACTTGACCACTGCAGGATTACTACCTCACGTCGATCCACAGATGCTCCTCTGGGTCATCTAGACTGTAATCACTTCTCATGCAACCATCCACTGCCCACTGTAAGTCCCCGTTTCGTAAAAACAAAGCAACGTCATGCGTTGAAGAAAACTACCCGTTGGAGTCAATCGATGCACGACTGTGTGACAGACGCTCTGATTTTAGTATTTATAAACAACATCAACAGTCAATGGGAACAATTATGCCACGAACGAATGATTGTGCCAGTGTCTGTGATGTTATTTTTTTATCGTAAACCGCGCTAGTAATTTTTTGGGAAGTCTCGAAGGATTAGAGGTAACGGAAGAAGAAAGAAAAAAAAGAAAAAAAAAGAAACACACATACACACTTCGAACCATCACTATATCTCTAAGGTTCATAATTTTATTTTTATATTTCATTTTGTACATATCGCTTATGATAATTTTTATCCAAACAAAATTACTAAAAAAAAAAAAAAGGAAAAGGAACAAAAAAAGGAAAGAAGGAAAAAAAAGATAAAAGAGA